GGTGAGTGAACCTTCTTTTTTATTTTTCTTTATTTTTCTTCCCCCTTCCTCCACCGCTGGTCCATTTGCTAGGCCGACGAAAACCGGTGTTCGAACGTTCTCGTTGCCGTTTGGCCGGCCGCCAATCGGTTCCGATATATTTTTCGTTCTCTTTCTTCCGTTCGAGGCGAGCGTGAGCGAGAATGGGAGAGACGATGAATGCGACAGAGATTCGTTGAATGGAGCCGACGGGTTCGACATTCTTCGCTTTCCCCGTTGTCCCCGGATAAAATTAGTCGGCGCGGAACGGAAGTCGCCTAGCCACGCTTCGCCATCGTTCTTCGATTCTTTTTCCCTTCTATTCTCGCGTGCAACGAAATTGTGATTGCTGAAGGTATTTCGAAAGAAAGTAGAGACTTTGATTATTCGTTCTTTTTTTTTTCTCTCTCTCTCTCCCGGAACTCGAAACATTGTTCATTATATTTTGTCGAATGATACAACAAATTAAAATAAATTAAAATGAACTTAATTACACTACGAATTGCATCCTTTAAATAAATAGAATTTGAAATTATATATCATTTAATTTAAAACTCTTAAAATCTTCAAGTTTGAAGAAAAAAAGAATATAAGTAATAAGTTGTGTTGGATCACAAGGAGGTATTGAAAATGATGCTCCAAGTTTGAAGTAAATTAATGATTCTAATAATTCTTTTTTTTTTTTTCTCGTAATAGAAATCGCACGTTATCTCCTTTTTATCTATTTTTTAGAAAGCAGCAGTTTTTATTTAAAAGTATCGTCCGACTCATTTTATATTTATTCATTGATTGAGAGATATTTATCGGGATAAAAAAATCGATGACACGCACAGTCAACAAATTCTAGCAGATACTTAATCGGTTGGGACTGAATTAAAATACCGACGGGGAGGGGAAGGAAGGAAGAAAAACGCAGGTAATTGATAAATTGAGACGCACGATATTGTCGCCAGTACGTTATTGGCGGTCGAAAGAGGTCCGGTTGGAAAGAGAGGCTCACCTAAAATCACCGCGAAAGGAATGCAGTTCTTGGAAGGCGCGCGCGCGCGTGGATGACTCGTCGCGATTGAATCATCGTTAACACTAATTATTGAGGTCGCGGCTTGATAATTGCGCCGGGTTCTCGTTAAAGAGGCAATCAAAGTTTTCTCGCTTCGTCAGAGCGCCGCCACTAAGGCAGAAAGAAGGAACAGAGGGCCGGTTCTTGTCGGGCCTCGTGGAATCTGGACGACAGACAATAGGCGATTATTACAAAAAGGTGTTGCAACTGCAAATCACTCGTTGGAATGGAAAACTGGTCGTCGTTGTTGATCAAATTTTTTTTTCCAGTTTTCCTTTTTTTTTTCAACTAGATGATTTGTGTGGAAATTTTTATTTTTATTCAGTTATACAGAGTAGAAAGAACGTTCGAGAAGAAGAGTCGAGAGTTTTCATTCGACTGTATTTTAATCGAGCAATACAATTTTTGCACTTCTCCTTGTTGGATGTTATGTAATTCTAATAACAAATTTTATTTCATGTATTTGTAATTTTTTTCTCAATAGAAATTTATATTTTTTAGCATTTTTATATATAATAAAATCTGAGATATGCAATATTTTGTTTTTATTAGCTTTTGATTAGATAAAATTAATCGTGTGTTTATATCTTTATACTTCAAGTCAAATAAATAAACGCTTTTAATGTTAATCATAGAATATAATTGAAATCGGGAATGTATAAAGCATAATGTTGCTTTTTACTACGGATTTTCTATCCTTATTATATCCTTCCAATTTATAGATCATTGTTACGCACAATTTAGGGTGGCTGGGAAGAAGAGTACAATCGACCATAATCGGCGGTCGAGTCGTGTAGGGGAACCAGCGTGATTTTGAAATATGGCCACTTATGGAGGGTGCTTCCTTCCGAATTGTGCAACCCTTCAAACTTTGTTTCACCGCTCTTTACTTTAACTATATGCTCGAGAAGGGGTTGAAAATAGGGGTTGCAAAGTGTTATCTTCAACGACAGGGTGCAAACCTATTTTCCGTCACAAATTATTTTCAGGAAGAATACAAGGAAAAATAAATTGAGCTCAACGAAGAAATTGAGTAGTAATAAATTGAAATGGAAAAAATGTTATCTTTATTATTGATACCAAACAAATTACAAAACCATCTTATCCATGCTTTTTTATGTAAATTAATTCCGGAAGAAATAGGAGAAAAAAATAGATTAGAAATAATTATATCAAGAAAGAATTGAATCAATAAATAATAAATAATAGTAAATAATTGGTTGTTGAAAACAGGAAGTAAATATTGATTTTGTTTTTTATTTAAATTATTTTCAAGAATAAGAAATAACAATGCAAAGTAAAGAAAAACAAATTAGAATTAATTGTTAAACGAAGGATTTCAACTCAACAAATGATTGAATATTATTTACGAATAAATTGTTCAATTGTATGTTGATATCAAACATAATGCATATCTACTCATTCGTGCGTTCTACACGGATTATATTTCCAAGAAAAATACGAGGAAAAATAAATTAGTAGTAATTGCACGAAGGAATTGAACTCAACAAATGTCAAGTAGTATAAATTAATTGCCCCTCCGTTAAAGAAGGTGATTCATTTGGACAGGGAAGATGAATACAAGCGATTTCGCGGAAGGCTCTTTAGAATTTCGATTTCTAATAAACAAACGAGCACGCTTACTGCTCGTTTATCGATCGAGCCGACTAATAAGAGAGCATAGATGGGCTCGTATAGGTGGCCCATGGAAAAGATTGCGCAACGCAACAAAGAACGTTCGAACGAAAGAGCGATTCTGCCTTCGCGGCGATCGTCCTCCTCGTTAGATATCTCTTCGAAATCAGCTAATTATTTCACCAATTTGCATGAAAATCGATCGAAAGGGTACGTTTCTTTCTTTCTTTCTTTCTTTTTACCTATGCATTCACGTTCGATTCTTATTCCATTCGATATATACATCGGTCCATGCAATTTTCTTCCTCGTCAATTTTATATTTCTTCGACAATTTCTTCGTCTTTGAATCTTTGAATTTGAAAAAAAATGTCTTGAATTACTCTCGAAGATAGAGAAAATTATTTGGAATATCATTTTTAAGATTGAAGAATAAAAAGAATAAAAGTTGGGGGCACAAATGAAATTTCACAAGTGAAATTGTTAAATGTATCATTATATTTCGAATTCTGAATAATATTAAAAAATATAAAGCATCTGAGAACTTAAACAATTAAAAAATAACGCAAAAGGGCTTCGTAATTTGAAATATTTCAAGTTATCTTTATTTTACAAAATTAAAAAGAAAATTATCCTCTTTTGTGATCAAAAACACAATACAAAAACTATAATATTATTACTATAATATTATTAGTATAATATTACATAGATCTTTATTTCCACTCTTAATAAAATTTACTATTCATTGTTACAATACAATCAATTATCCGTTTCTTTTTTTAATCTTCATCAATCAAATTAAATACAATACAAATACAAATCTAAATACATTCTTTTATTAATCATTCTTATTCTTTATTAATCATTAACGAAACCACAATTATCCGTTGAATATTTGCCCAAATCTTCCTTCGAATAAAAAAGAATCCCAATTTCCGCTTCGATTAAATCAACAATCATCGACAAAGGATCATCATCATTCGCAACCCTCCTCACCACATTTCCCAAAAATCGGTATCTCAGCTAATTATCTCGAAATGCCTTCAATGGATTGAAATCGGGTCCGCGAGTTTTCGGGCATCCGAGGAATCGGCGGATACTAATTGGGCCTCCTTTGGAGGAGTCGTGGCAGAAATAAAAGGGAGGGAGGAGGGATCATCGCACAAAAGGATGTTCCTCTCTCGAAGAATTCGCGAAATTCCCCCGTGCGCGAAGGAATAACTTGATGGCCGAGGGGGAGGGGTAGGGGGAGGAGATCCGCTGGAAAATTTGAAATTCAGAAGCGGCGG